TTTGTTGTAACCGAAAGGAGGTCTTCTCACAAGGAATACACCTGTGAAATATGAAAGCCATATTACTAACCGTGCAAAAGTTATGGTCAAGGTTAAAGTTTTTTTTTAAGTGGATCAAACTTTAAGATCAAGGTATGAGGTCAGAGTAGAAGGTCTTATCACAAGGAATATATCTGTGAAATATGAAAGCCAAAGTACTTACAGTTCAAAAGTTATGTTCAAGATTAGTGTGTTTTTTTAAAAAGTGGGCCAGATCATGGTCAAATATCGTAAAACCCAACTGAAATCTATTGTCACAGTGAACAAACATTTAAATTATGAAAGCCTTAGCACCATTTTTTTCAAAACTTACGACTATGGTTAATGTTCGTAAACTTTTGGTAAAAGTGAATCAAACTCATAGGTCAAGGTCACAAGGTCAAATTAGGTGGTACTGAGAAAAAGATCTTGTCACAGGCAATACTCCTGTGAAATATGAAAGCCACAGCCCCACCCATTCAAAAGGTATGGACAGGGTTAAAGTTTTTGCATATAAACAGAGTTGGACAAACAGACAAAAGGACAGGGTAAAGACTACATACCCCAAATTTTCGATTACAGGGGCATAAAAACGCACAGCACCATGGATAAAACATAAAACATGAATCTTCTCTACACTAATGAGTTCTGATTCTATGTTATTCTTCTGCAGTAAGAGTGAGTTGCCCTAACATACATATTCTAAATATTAAAATTTGCAGTCTATTAGTCAGTTGAAATTAATTCAGACACGTGAAACACATGGAGATAACGAAACAGTATTCAAGATGAAAAGTCCATAAAACAATACAAAATAGGAGCAGAGCAAACAAGGACCTTCAAATTTCAGAGGTGGCATCAGGTGCCATGTATTCTTAACATTTTAAAGGCCAATATAAATAATCAAACATGTTATCTGCAAGTATTGTCTCTGTGAAAGTAACAGTGATTTCTGTTCACTGATACTATTTTGTGTTTGAATATTTTCCTGAGGTTCAATTTAAATAGTAAATCAATATTATTACTTTAATACAAAAAAAATGTTTCTTAATGTCCAGAACATTTTGCAAAGGTGTAGAGAGGGTCCTTAAATGGAATTTTGAATTCTATTAAATTAGAAATAAAAATTATTTCATTTCCGCATTAATTTACACAGCCATGTTCAGTCTCCACGATGCCGGAAATTTGTACTATTGAAAATCAGTCTTACCTGATGAATATTTTCTAAGTGATCATATTTCACAGCCAAATATCCATGATTTAGAATTTCAATTTCATCAACATCATCAGATTTTTCAAAGGACGGGAATATACTTACGCATTGTATTAAAATAATGAATGTCATTTATTTTTGTTGAAAACTAGCATTTAAGTCAACTTTCAAAAAAAAAAAAAAAAAAAAAAAAAACAAAAAAAAAAAAAAAAAAAAAAAAAAAAAAAACCAACAAAAAGTAAAAACTCACATATTAGTAACAGGAGCAAGGTAAGAAAAGACCCCATACCAAACATTTATTAAATGCAAATTTCCTACATAATATGAATGCACTGTCCACGTTGTTTGCTCAGTTTGGTTAGATAAGATAATACATTTTCTCACAATCTGCAAAGAAGGTCAAATTAATAAGTTGGGAACTGGTGTAATATTTATTATCAAAAAGATAAGCTTATTCCAAGTTTAACGTCCTGTTAGAATATTTTTCATTTATATAGATATGAAAGATGTGGAGATAACATATAATGTTTCATTTCATGTATTCGAGCTCAAAAGTCTATTAAACATGACAAAATACAGACTGGAACAAACGGGGAACAAACACGGACTTCCAAAACATCAGAGGTGAGATCAGGGGGCATAGAGGAGTGAGCATCCTCTGTCGACCGGTGACTCACCATATGCTCCATGTTATGTTTGGGCGAAAAACAATGGAAAATCCGTGGACAACTCAGTGTGTATATGTCCTTACAATCAGTATGAAAAAATATTCAGTTAGTATTTGACTTAAGGATAAATAGTATTTGTAAACAAGGTCATGGTATCGGCCACAGAACATAAGAAACAGGACTTTGTTGTTTTGGTGAATCAAGGATGACAATATCTTAAAAATGAATATTGGAAATCATTTTATTGGGAAAAAAATACACAATAAAAAGTTATATCTGGACAGTTTTTTTTTCATTTAATCGATGGATAGTCTTTATTTCGTCTTTGTCCCCTGCAAATACAGATAAGAAAAAATGCTGATATATACATAAGTATATGATTTTTCACTTAAGTACAATAACGTTAACATTTATCCTATTTTTCATTAGATTTGTCTCGTTTCTATATAGAATTACACTGCTAGGGATATAAAATACTAGTAATATCAAAGAAGTCCTTTAATTTCATTAAATCATTACAATATCGATATCTGCTTTTGGTATACATATTCCACTCAAAACTTTGAAACTAAGACTATTGAAAGGGATCTTTGTGGTCCACGAGGAGGTTTTCGACTTACACATCGACAAGATGGACAAACATCACAATAACTGGTTTGCTTCAAGATGGAAGGTGTATAGAAAGTTGTTACTTGGTGTTCTGCCAAAACACAATAGACATAATGAAACCATGCTCTATATACTTTTTAAAATTCAAATCTTGACTTAATGATAAAACGGATCATTGCTTTAGAGGTATATGATACGGTTTAATTATTAATTAGCTGAATTATATTAGAAATTGTCTAAATTCATATTTACCTTTTTAAAAATCTATACATTTAAATGTCATGCTTTTGACATTGTTACAAAAAATTCAGGATATAGACACAAAAGGAAACTCAAGATCAACAAATCACACACGAAAACTATGCTAAATAATAAGAGTTTGCTTTCCTTTCATAAAATAAAGTGTTCTTCTCTAGTACAAATTTTACAGAGGATAAAAAATTTAAAAACATTTTCATTTCATCCTTTATTGATTTCTACAGAAAATCTAAATGATTGTTCTTTTATCCAAGGCATATGTCCTTTAAAAGACATTTTCGGATATATCATAAAAATGTGATAAAACCACAATTGAAAAAGGGAACCAAATTATATACCTGGATTATAATACTCGTACACTCCTACAGGTGAAGGTTTGATATTTGCAACCAAAGTGCTTCTTTCCACATTAATAGTGACACAAACCTCATTACTGGTGATCTTTAAAAATATAAAAAGGTTACATGTATTTATTAAATGTTTTTCCATCAAATATTGTTAAAAATTGAAACATTTTAAAATTTCATCCCAAGATTTTAATGAAAGAAAGAATGGTGCACAAATTCAAGGTCACAACAAAGTAAATACTGAAAAACTGATTTTACAACATGGGCGTATCAGTATACCTCTCTTCTAATTTTCTTTTCGATTTTCAAATAAGCGATATATGAGTTACTGACCTCATCAAAATATAGGACCACGTTTCTGTCATCGAGTTCTGACTTCTTGAGACTTTGATGATAGCTTATGCTCTCCATGTCAGCTTCATACCCTGACGGGACGCCGTACTCTACAATAGCCATACCGCTCCCCACAGCTGTAGATGTGTTATACCTAAACAATTCGGTTATATTCTTTAATCCGGATAAAAACGAATTATCTTATCTTTATTATATACTTACAGGTAGAACGAAGCATTTCTTTTTTTTTTATTGAAAGAGGCTATTATACCTTGTACAAATCTTTGTAGTTATGGTTTCCATAGTTTCTTTCAGACTTGTTACATCGATCAAGAAGGCTGGTTTTTCTATTTGTTCCTGAACATTATAATTCACTGCCACCTTAAAGAGAACATTGTTTTTTAACTTATCAAATTAAAGTTTAAGTGTATTGAAGAGTTTTCTGTCAGCATATTTTCATTTTAGCATGTCAATAAATACATTATCTTTTTTCGGTATGAAGGCTTTACATGTAATTGTAGGCATACCGAGTATTATATCAGCCCAAAACTTTAAACCAAATTAAATTTAATTTATTGATAATCTAAATAAATAAGTAAAATGTATTTCAAAAATTAAAGGATGCCGCACCCCTTTCCCCAAGACATTTCGATTCTTACATTGATGTTACAATTAAATATCACAGGAATAAAAGTATTATATTTGTAATAATCTAAATGCAGTTGATCTTTAAAAATGAAGAAATACCATTATAGGAACTAGGCTATTATTTTGATTAAAATATTCAATGTATTGGAATTGAGCCCCCCAAAAACATTCGTTTTAGAAATCATTATGTAACCTTACCTGGACCAAAGCCACTCCGTGCCCACTAGCTGTAACATTGACTATGTCTGGAACTCCAGAGGGCTGTATCATATAAAGATAATTACATATTGGGAAATGCATTTTTAAAATAGAAAAAGATAAATTCCGTTTAAATATAGCCAACTCTACTTACAATAATATTCCTTCTAAAAATAACTTAGCATACCATACTGATTTCTAGAAATACCTTATCCTATGGATAAAAGATATAGAACAACAAAACAAAAGCAATATATTTTTCCTTAATTATATAAATTGTAAATTTAGTTCATTTTTTTAAATTAACTAACTGGATCTCCCATATGCTGTTCCAGATATGTTTGGCAATCGATATCTTACCTGAAATTTCTGAAGAACCATCTTGTTTCTTTCATTTACATTGAAACTGTGACTTTCATTGCGAGTGTTGACCTTGACATTTAAGTTTAGGAGTGAATTACCAGACGGGGAATGTGTAAGCTCGGACAATGCTTGTAAGGCAAGAACGGTGTCCTAATGAATAAAATATTGTATAACATTAGATATTGCTATACATTTTCTTATGAATTTATTTTGGTTTAACATCCAATATCATTATTTCATATTTTTCATTTGTATTTTATTAGTCTTTTAAAATCATATAAAATAAAAATTACTAAGTTAAGTTCATACTAATGGTTGAAATTACAACTGCCTATTGCTTAAAGATCCATCCTATAAGTAAAAGATATAACATTTTGCCTATTGGTTCGGATATACCTGAGTGGACGCAAAGCCTCCATTTGCATTTCTTTGTTTTAGAATCCATTTCAGTATTTTCTGCGCATGAACATATTTCTGACTCTTCATATAATAGAGGAGTGTGTATGCCGACGTCTCAATATCTACTGGAGTTGCTCGAGTGTTGGGACTATTCCAGAGATAATTTGGAGATTTTCCAGATGACTCCCATGGCAAATAAATATCAACAACTGCAAAAAGACGAATTGTAGTTGCTAACAATATTCTCATATTTTATATATTTCATAAAATATAATTAACTTTGAATTGCATTTTTCTGAAATTTTGACAGTAAGGTATGAATTTACTTATGTCCAGTATTGCATAAAAATACTTGGCTTACAAATGAACATATGTACAACTCACCATGACAATTTTCACCACCCAGGGATAGCTGGACCTGTTGAAGAGCATTATAGTCGGACACTCTAAATACGTGACTGATATCAGAGGCAATGTTTTCTAACTCTCTTTGTCCAATTCCACTCCCGATGCCGATGGAATATGTAGTGACTCCGATAGATCGCAGCGCTTCAGCAGCTACTTTTGTGTCGGCGGGGTTGTTAGATTGTCCGTCTGTTATTACGATCACAATTCTGCTGGAATTCATTGTTGCTCCTTTCGAAGCAATAAAACTGTTGTTTTCCACATATCGAAGTGCTGAGGCAGTGTCTGTGCCACCTGCATAATATGGTACTCTAGAAACAGCATCCCCAATTGCTGAGGCAGTTTGATATGCATTTAAAGGGAATGCTTCATAAACTCGAGAGCTGAAGGTCACAACGGAAACTTTTGTTTTTCCATTAGTAAAATCAAATGAACTGGTCATGTCCCGAACAAAGGAGAGAATGCTTTGAAAGTTGCTGGAACCGATACTTCCACTGGAGTCCAGAACAAATACAATGTCAGCGGCTGGTTCTGTGCATGCTTCAACAGAAAGAAATAACCTTAAACATCATTTATCTGACAATTCAGAGAAAAGCAAAATGAAAGGAAACACAATGAAGCACAGGACCAAAGTACAAAAAAAATATTCAAATATTTGTATTTATATCTGTATTTTTTAAATGAAATTTAGTCCTTCTCAATTTTTAGGGATAAATATTGATTTCAATAATTTTATGTATTGAGATAAACTAGAGATATTTTGAACAATGAGCTCACTCACTGATATCTCTGCCTCCCATACGGTTATATTGGCAAAGTACATGTTTTTTTTTTTACAATTTTCAAGTGGGGGGTATGAATATTCCTTTCTATGATTTTCTATTAGTAAGTTTAAAGATAGGTATTCCATGTTATAATTTTTCTATCCACAAAGATTAAAGATAAATATTCCCTTCAATTTATATTTTTATTTTTTATGAGTTAAATTAAGTTTAAGAATAAAACATTCAGATAGAAGGATATGGAGATAACGAACAGTATTCAATCTTAAAGTCCATTAAACAATATACAAAATAAGAGCAGAGCAAACACGAACCTCCGAAATATCAGAGATGGGATCAGGTGCCATGGAAGAGTGAGCATCCCCTGCTGACAGGTCACACCGCAGTGTGCTCCTTGTCATGATCAGAAAATAACGGAAAAAATCCGTCGTTAATTCAGTGTATTAATAATGGA